GATTTTGGTTTCGAAACCCGATTCCTCGTTTTCGTTAAGGAATCTCCACAGAAACTGCTTTTTGGAACCAAGGAAACTTGATTCCTTAATTTTGGAATCTCGATTCAACACATCTTTAGAAACCATATTTCGGAACTAAGGAAACTTGGTTCCTTATTTTCGGAATTCAACACATATTTGGAAACCATTTATCGGAACCAAGGGAACTCGATTCCTTAACTTTAGAATCTCGATCCAACACATCTTTAGAAACTTGAATCCATTAATTGTGGGTAGACATTCCCAAATATATTGAATTAAGATTCCAGCGAGGATTAAATCTTGATTCAACGATAAATAAATTCAAAGTATCAAAAAAAAAAAAACTAATACAAAGTACATAATGTCCAATGTCTGTGATGGTTGTGCACTTCCTAAAGGAAATTGGAGTAGAAATCTTCCTTCAAATGTTTCTAGTGGTTGCAGTGTTTGATTATTTTACTTGTGCCACCCTAGACGGCCTTTACTTTAAATTTAAAATATAATTGGTAAATACAACACATACAGTTAAAAAGTAAAACCATGGCATAGACCTAATTCTATTTTGTCTTTATAATAATGAAGTCAAAATCACAATTTAGAAATACTTATCTTTTGTATATAATCACCGTAAGTTCAATAGTCAACACCATCACTTTAAAATTTCGGAAACCTTCTAATAAGAGATATCTAATATAGGTTCTAAAGTTGGTAAGGCTCAAGATATGCTCCATAAAAATGAAATCTCGATTGCTGGTAGGGGTTGTCAAACGCATTCCATAGTCCATATTATTGTAAATATCGATCTCAAATTGGCATGAATCTTTGATCCATATATTTCTAAAACTTGATTCCAAATATGCTAGAATCACGATTCGAAATAGCAACATATTTTTGTTCCATATATGTCAGAAACTCGATTCCGCATATTAATGAATCTTGACTTCTGGAGTGTTGATTCCAAGGGGGTGGGAATCTCGATTTCAAGGAGGACAGAATCTCGATTCCATATGGATCTATTTCAGTCGAAACACGATTTTTAAAAACTAGGAATCTCGTTGCCAACGATTCCTATTGTATGGACAATGATTCTTAAGACAAGAATCTTCTAGCCGGCCACGATTCCACAATTTGGGTTCTTAAAACGATTCGGGTTCCCATGCGTTTCCAACAACTATGGTTTATCCTCTTAGTATACCCATTTGTCTAAGGATGGTTGCTGGTGGAGTTCAACTTCATCTCCATCAACTTGAAGAGGTGCTACCATAACCTTCCCATGGACCGCGCATCGTTACCATGATGTCCTTAGGCACATCCCACCACTTCACCATGTGGGTGAGAAACAACTGTGCTGCGGTCTTCGCGTTGCAGTGGTTGAGAGTCATAATGAAGGTCCCATACTTTGAAAATAGGTCGACCATCACCATGATCTGGTTCATGCCATTGACCTTGGGCAAGTCACTATAGAAGTCTGTGGATAGGCTTACCCATGGTCCTTCGGGCATGGGGAGGGGCTTTAGCAATCTGGCCGGACCCTGTCAATCCGTCTTGTCTTGCTAACACACAAGGTAGGTCTTAACATAGTGTTCGACCTCCTGCTCCATTTGGGGCCAGTAAAAGCTGCGGGGTAATAGGGCCATCCTCTCTTGGCTAGGGTGGCCAGTTTCCAGTGCAACATGACACTCCCTCAGCAGCTCCTTCTTAAGGCCACTTGTGTTGGGCACATAGATGCGCTTACCTTTGACGTAGAGGATACCACCCTCTAACAAACATCTGTTGTTGTATTTCTCCTGTACTTGTTGCACGAGTTTATGGTCATTAGGTTTCTCTTGACTTCATCGCAGATCTGTCCTAAGAGATCCCCCTCAACTCGAGCTACCACTGTACCACTACTGGGTGGTCTGTCTTTCTACTCAAGGCATCAACCACTACATTGGCTTTCCCTGACTTTTTATTCTACGGAAAAGTCAAATTTGGCCAAAACCTCTTGCTATTGAGCTTGCTTTGGGGTCAACTTCTTTTGGGTGGTGAAGTAACTCGTGCCCACACTGTTAGTGCGCACCATGAACCTACTTCCCAACAAATAGTGTTGCCACACCCTCAAGAAGTATACCACCGTGGACTGAGTACCGTTCAGCTTCCGACTCTCAAAAGCCACAAGATGTCCATTGTATCAACACTCCATTGATTGCGTGCTTGGAGGCATTAGTCTGCACCTCAAAAGTTTTATCGAAGTCTGGGGGGTGCAACGCTGGTTTGGTGGTGATTACCCTCTTCAACTCTTGAAAGGACTACCCATAGAAGGTTAGTAAGGGCCAAGATCCTTTTTGGGTATCTCTGGATTAACTACCACTAATAATTGGTCATCCTCAAGGGAGAGTGTAGCTTATGGATGCCCTTAGGCTGCAGCCAGTCTATGATGGCTCGTACCTTCTGATCATCTGTTTCCATTAGCCCATGATTGACCTTAGGCCCTAGGAACATGTCTCCTCTTGGGCAAAGACACTCTTTTCAAGCTTCACATACTACTAGATGTCCCTCAACCTTTTTAGCACCAACCTTAAATGCTTAACATGGTCATCTAAGGTTTGGTTATATACAACAATATCATTTTAAACACACAATTCTAAAACATCGATGCACTCACTAAGGACATCATTCATTAGATGACCAAAGGATGCCAAGGCATTGGTTGGCCCAAACGGCATTACAAGGAACTCAAAAGACATATGCCTGGTTACACATGTAGACTTCTCAACATCCCCCTTTGCAAAGCGAACCTGCTAATAGCACGAGCGTAGGTCCAGCTTCGTGAAGACCCTAGCCTTGGAATGGATCACCAATTAGGGGCAATGGGTACCGGTTCTTGCTGGTCAACTTGTTGAGCGCATAGTAGTCCACTCACATGCGCAACGTGCCATCGTGCTTCCTTTGAAACAACATTGGTGCACCACAAGAGGACTTGGATGGCAGGATCATACCTGCATCTAGTAGCTCATCCAACTGCAGTCGAAGTGCCCCCAACTTGAAAGGGGCCATGTGATAAGGGTAGGGTAGGGTGGGGTGGGGTGGGGTGGGGTGGGGTGGGGTGGTGGTGGGGGGGGGGGGGGGGGCTGGTTGTGCGAGGGGGTGGGGTGTGGTAGATCAGTAGGAAAGGTGTCTATTACTAGTGGTAGGAATGGAACCCAAGATGTCATGTTGTAGGACTTACCACCCTGACCACCTATGATACTTCGCATCTGGAAGATACTACAAAACGCGTATAGGTGAAAATGAACAGTGATTTCGCCTACCCTCATCACCATCCAAATTTCATCACACGGTCACAGTTGTCCGGTAGTGTTTCAATTTTCTTGTTTTTTTACTAATTGGAATGATATGAAATTTGGAGCGTGTGTACATCTTAGTGAGGCACACTTG